CGCCTTCATTGCCAGTGACATCTTCTGTTAKAAACATCGCCACTCCTCTTATTGTGTATCATCGTCGACGACATGCACAACATCGTCACTTGGCTAGGGATCAGCGGCCTGCTTCTTTGTCTACCCCAATTCTCTCTGTGCCTCCTTCACGGGTTGCTGCGGTTCCGTTGTCCCAAACGGATACATCCGCTTTTATGCCTCCTGCAGACAGTCCAGTTGCTTGCACACAGCCACGGCACCATGTTTTATGCCCTTCCATGTTCGTTTGTCCCCCAGCTATGCAACAGGATATGGTCCCTGCCCAGAGTACACTCCCAACGACAGTCCCTACTCACGATGTGGCCCCGAACGCTGAGGGCCTGGGACATGATCAGCTCGGACTGCATTTGACCCCGCAAGGCATAGACCACACGGGAGATTTGCAAATGGTTGACCAGGATCATATGGATGAACCGCGTACTTGTGCCCCACCCTGTGTGGTCCCGAACGCTGAGGGACTGGAACATGATCTGCTTGGACTGCATTTAATCGCACATGGCGTAGACCCCACGAGGGATTTGCAAATGGCTGACCAGGATCATATGGATGAACCGCATACTTGTGCACCACCCTGCGCAGGCCCCACGGGTGATCTACAAATGACTGACCAACAAAACCAGCCTGAGATCCCCGCCAATCTYTGTGGTCTGACTGCAACTAATAGCTGCCTTCACGTTCTCAATCGGTCGTTGTATACACCATCAGATTTCCTTGCAATTGCCCTGCAGCTTGATGTTGATCTCGCTAATCTCGCTGATCCCCCCGACCTACAGCCAGAGCATCGTAATTACACCAGGGAAGGAGGTTTTACCATTGCTGTCMTAGAAATAGCGATGARGAACCGCCAGCTTGAACTACGCCATGCTCTACCAGGTGAGYTGTTTAATCCTCCATCCCGCATCTCYGCCTGCATTGTGCATGGGCCTGGCCATTACATGGCTATTGTACACGCCTCTGACCATTGGGAGGTGTGGAACGACGGTGTCATGGTCCATGCCATGATTGATATTACTGATTTCTTACTCTATGATGTTGTTCTCTTGCCACATCAAACTGTTTGCAACCTCCTTTATGTTGAAGATCATTCCTCTGGCACCGTAGTGCAGCAGTACAATGTACAGACACTGTGATCTTCTCCTTTGCACAGCCACAGATACTGTTGCACTTGGGTGTACTCGCCATCATCTTTGTCACGATCACTACCACGAGATGGTTTCTGCATCCATGTGTGTACAGGATTGTCCCTCYGTTCCTGACTGCAGGCACCCTCCTCATCCGGACACTATATGTCCATTTTGTGGCCACGGRCGCTATGCTGAATGCATGCTCTTTTGTGGGGGGCGTTCTTCCTTTATTCTGGCCTGCAATAGACATGCTATTTTTCAGGAATGTATGGTTGGCATGCTTAATGCCAGCCGTCGTGGYAGTTGTTGTTTTGAGAATGCTCAGTTAGGTCTTCCATGCGCTCATCCACCCCATCCTTACAATGTGTGTCCTTTCTGTCGTCAAGGACAGCCTCATTCTTGAGCTTTTCACTGTGTTTAACACCTTCCCCTTCACTCTGCCTCTCTCACAGCGTGCAAGTGGGCTGTTATGGCATACGGGGATGGGGGCAGCTCGCGCTCAACTTCATCAACGTGGCGAGCCTTGCACGTGAGAGGCACAGTGGAGGTGGAGTTCAAAGAAGAATGAGAAATTTAATGGTTTCAATCTGCCCTTGTTTT